AGGTTGAACACACTGAGGTGCTGGGAGGGTGGTATGCTCAGAGAGGGCATAGAAGCTCTCTGCCCCTTCCCACATACCTTGTCCTATGCATCTCTTCTATTTGGCTGTTCCTGAGTTGTGTCCTTTATAATAAACTGGTAACAGTAAGTAAAGCACTATCCTGAGTTCTGTGAGCCATTCTAGCAAGTTACTGAACCTGAGGAGGGGGTCAGGGGAACTCCTGACTTATAACTCTTTGGTTAGAAGTACTGGAGGCCCAGTCTTGTGACTGCTGTCCCAAGTAGGGGCAGTCTTGTGGGACTGAATCCTTAACTGTGGTGTTTGGATGGATGCCAGATAGTAGTGCCATAATTATATTAAATTGTGGGATACCCAGTTGGTGTCCACAGAAAATGGGAGGATTGCTTGGTGTGGAAAACCCACACATTTGGTGTCAGAAGTCTTGGAGTAGAAGGAAATAGTTTTTTCTTCAGTAGAAGAAGAGGGGTTTTCCCCATAAGATATTAGAGGCAGGAAGAAGTTTTCAATTTGTTACAGAGCCTCTTAAGATGTGAGAGGCTTGAAAAAAATGTTTTAAGTGAGAGAAAGCACCAATAGAAAGTAAAACATTGAAGATAAATGAGAATTTCAGAGTCCAGTTGGAAACAGGACCTGTTGAGTGTAGAGGCTGCTTTTAGGCAACAGGCTTGCGCAGTAGAAATCTGAAGAAGGCAAGAGGGCCCACAGTGACCACTGACAACCAAGCTAACACCAAGAGGCTCATGAAGCAATCCACATGAAATAGCCATAGGCCCTAACTGACCAGTTACAGCCACGCACAGTTCCTCAGATTACCAAAAAAGGGAAAATTCCATAAGTCCCCATACTTCCTCATTCCGCCCTGTAACTATAGCCCCTCACCACCGCCTCCTGGCAGTCTCTGCTTCGCTGTCCTCCCTGATACTCCCTTTGGGGTTTGAGAAATGTAAATATACAGATTCTGGAAATGAATGTTTTTAAGGTTTGAATGCCTCGATAGTAATCAGGTATTTTGGAAAGTTCAGTAGTCCTGGGTTTGGAAGGTCTGGATTTGACTCCCAGCTTTGCTACCAATGACATTGAGGAAATGAATCCTCTCTTCCTCTGGGTTTCAGTTTCTACATCTGTAACATAAAGGAATTAGTATTAAACAAAACTGAACAGCACTTCCACTCCTGCCTCTGATTTTCCTGTAATACTGGATATACCCCAGAAAACGTGGGCAGAGCAAGGATACATAACTCACCAACTGCAAGGGCAGCCCACACGGAGATGGCCAGGACAAGGACGGCATTCGAGAAAACCTCCTTCATGGTGGCAGAAGAGCTATGAAAATATGCAGCCTTTGATGTTGGAGAGAGCAAGTTCCACGTGAAGTACGCATTCTCGCAGAGATCCTGCATTGACCAGGAAGTGAAGTCTAAATCCTTCAAGTATGTTCTTTCCTCAGGCCATTTGGAATGAATTTTGTCTGATGCAATTAAGTGGCTTCATTTATTTCTCTAGAACAATTGGACATTAGAAGAAAATGATCTCAAAAATGGAATTTTAGAAGATGCCAGAAAAAGAGCTTGTAAAGACTATCTGCAGGGGATCATTTGATAAAGAATAGGCACCAAGAACTTTGCGATTAAATGTTTAAAAGTTGATCTTTATCTCTGAGGTAAGAAGGGCAGTCACTAGGAAGTTCAGTGACACGTGTTAAATCAACAGAAGGAACAAAACAACATTTCTTAATCCTTTCTTAATCTTCCATATTATTACTTTGGTGTTAATATTTAGTAATCAATATCAGTACTGAAGGGAAAACTATAGAGTATTTACCAACAGCTTACTTGCATTATTGAAAATATTATAGTACAAGGCAGTTGACATTATTTATATGGTTTTGATACATTTTCCAGGCAAATTATATATCTAGGTAATTTCTGCCCAAGACCCTCCCTGAGTAAAAACAAATAATAAATAATATAACCCTTTCCTACTCAAAAGTTTGCAGATTAGTATGTCCACTTTATCTGCTGGGACTCCCATAGTTGCTGTGAAAAACAGGCTGGACGAGATATTTTTTATTTCCAGTTTGTTGATAATGAAATTACAACGTGTGTGGGAGTGGGTGGGTGAGGGAGGAAATGTCTTTTCAAGGCTGAGATGGCTGGCAGCAGAAGAGAGTGAACTTTGTTTTTAAAGATTTTTTTTATTATTTTTGAGTGAACTCTACACACAATGGGAGGCTCGAACCCACAACTTGGAGATCAAGAGTCACACACGCCACTGACTGAGCCAGCCAGGCGCCCTGAAGGAAGGGAACTCTGAAGTTAGGAATGTGGTCACAACTCATACCTATTTCTTCCAACTCCAAATTCTGTCATGCCTAAATCTTGTGAGTTTCTATTTCAGTTTTTTAAGGGTGGTATGTACTGTCCATTACCACTCCAGAATTTAGTCGTTCTTGCCAAACCTGGACCTAGCAATGTAGAGATGTATCCTACCCAAATATTGAATTCTTGTATTTTTATCTGTATAGCAATCATTGTATCTAGGACAGCTTTGGGTATGTAGATAGTACTATAAATTGCCACAGCTTCATATGCAGTTACTTCTTTCATCAGTAGTCAAAACTCTGTAGTCAGTTTATCGAAACCTTTAATTTAGAAGGTTTCTAATACTAACTCACAGAATCTTAAAGTGGAAAGTTATCTTATATGGAATCCGCCAGGTTCAGCCTTGTTGAGTGGAGTTGAGGAATCCTGGGATGGAGTGCTCTTTCCATGAGCACTAAACGATAGCTCTTTCTACCACTTGGAACAAAAGTCCCTCAAAATACCAACTTTTGGGGTGCCTGGGTGGCTCAGTCATTAAGTGTCTGCCTTTGGCTCAGGTCATGATCCCAGGGTCCTGGGATCGAGCCCCACATCCGGCTCCCTGCTTGGCGGGAAGCCTGCTTCTCCCTCTCCCACTCCCCCTGCTTGTGTTCCTGCTCTCGCTACCTCTCTCTTTGTCAAATAAATATATAAAATCTTAAAACAAAACAAAACACACACCAACTTTAAAGGAAAAGTTCAGAGGTTATTGGGTATCATAACTTCTGTAGGTCCCAGTGCTTGATGAATGGCCTTAAATAGGGACATGCCGCATAGTTCTGGGAGGTGGAGTATACTTTCTCAGTACTGTTTTTAGTTTGTTTGTTTGTTTATTTTTTAAGTAGGCTCCACACTTAGCATGGAGCCCAATGTGGAGCCCAACCTGGGACTTGAATTCAAGACCCTGAGATCAAGATCTGAGCTGATATCAAGAGTTAGAGGCTTAACCAACTGAGCCACCCAGGTGCCTCTGCTTTCTCAGTACTGTTCTGATTGACCACAGCGTGTACCATAATAGTCTCCAAAATTTTTGCTTTCAATCCCTCTAAATTTGATGCCCACTTAGATTTTTTTAAAAAGATTTTATTTATTTATTTCATTTGAGAGAGAGAGCGGGAGGAGCAGAGGGGGAGGGAGAAGGAGAGGGCAAGAACCCCAAACAGACTCCGCACTGAACACGGAGCCCGACGTGGGGCTTGATCCCACAACCTTGAGACAATAACCTGAGCTCAAACCAAGAGTCGGACACCCAACCTACTGAGCTACCCAGGCACCCACACCCCACTTAGATATTTTTTTAAAACTCTCTCTCTCTTTTTTAAAGATTTTATTTATTTATTTGACAGAGAGAGAGAAACAGAGAGAGAGAAAGACAGAGCACAAGCAGGGGGAACGGCAGGCAGAGGGAGAAGTAGACTCCCCGCTGAGCAGGGAGCCCGATGCAGGACTCGATCCCAGGACCCCGGGATCATGACCTGAGCTGAAAGCAGACGCTTAACCAACTGAGCCACCCAGGCGCCCCCACTTAGATATTTTTTAAGTGGCATGTAAAATGTTTCACCCTAAGTTTAAATGGTTACAAATGACTAAATGCACACGTTTTAAAATAAAAATGTTGAAAGTGAAAGTCATTCTTTAAGATGTATCCAGCGGAATCTACATTCTATGGTGATTTGACGCAACCAAACATATGGATGAGCTCGCAGTTTGAAATTTTACATACTTTTCTTCCTTGAATGAGTAGAATTTTCATTCTACTTTCCCTACAATTTTATACACAATGTTATGTTACAAATTTTTACTGGTCAGGCTTTTCTAATTTTCTTCAACAGAAATCTGCAATGAATTGATGTTTTCAATTTCCTGTGACCATAGGATATAAAGTGTTAATAAAATTCTTTTGGGTTGAGTTATCACAAACAGTAGTACATATTGATCAAAACAGCATATATTATAAATTTTGATAGTTATTTAACATAGAAGTAAATTTTTATTAAATCTCTCTCTCTTTTTTTTTAAGTTTATTTATTTAAGTAATCTCTATACCCAATGTGGGCCTCTAACTCACGACTCCAAGATCAAAAGTCGTAACGCTCCTCCAACTGAGCCAGCCAGGTGCTCCTAAGTATACATCTCTTAATGAGATGCATGGTGCTGATGTTTTTCAGTTATTTGTGTATATACCTCGAATATTACTTGTTGCTGGAATTACTCGGGATCCAGCATCAGTTCTATATTTACCCTTTGTTTTCACAGATACACACTGAAAAATCATGTTCACATCAAATAAGTAGATGGGGGTGGGGTACCTGGGTGCCTCAGTGGGTTAAGATCTATTTTAATTATCAAAACAAACTCATGAGTTAGATACAGTGTTATCCTCATGTCACTGATCTGGAAAATGCAACACTGTCAGATTAAATAACATGCCAATATGCACATATCTGATGAGTAGCACAGCTGAGATTTGAATTGGCTCTGGGGTCTTTCACTTTTACACTCCACAGTCTCCAATATTAGTAGCCTCATTATATTTTTTACTGAGTATATAAGAACTTGGATGTTTGCTGATTGCAGCTTTGTAGCAAGCTTATTCTTGTTTCTTTATTCTTATGGCAGATTCAGACTCACAGGAGTGGGATGCTGCTTTAGAGAAAGGAAAGAGGGAGAGAAGGAAGACTGGGAGAAATGGAGAAGGGGGAGGGAGACGAGGGAAGAGGACGAGGATCATGGATTTCCAGGTAGGTTGAAACAAATCAGAGTTCTACCAGCAAAGTAGGAGTGTGCATTAGTAATTTCAGTGTTTCCCTCAGTTTGGCCAGTAGAAAGTGATATGGCATTGTTATTTTATTCTTATTTTTAAAGATTTTATTTATTTGAAAGAGACAGAGAGCACGGGGGTTGGGGAAGAGGCAGAGGGAGAGGGAGAAACAGACTTCTGGCTGAACACAGAGCCCAACATGGGGCTGCACGCAGGGCTGGATCCTTGGGCCCCAAGATCATGACCTGAGCCAAATTCAGATGCTTAACTGACTGAGCCACCCAGGCGCCCTGCCATTGTTACTTTAATTTGCATTTCTTCACCCAAATGTATGTGAATATTTTTCTAGGAGGTTGTGTCTTTTTGGGTTGGTCTTTGTGAACTGAAAATTCATACCTTTTCTGTTTTCCCTTAGTCTTTCCTCAGAAATTCATAAGAGTTATTACTTCTGTGTAACTAATCAAATTTTATAATCTGCAAAGTACATTTTTACTAGATCGATTATTTATGTGCTAATTGTGTATTAATTGTGTTTATGGAACATATTATCACACAAATATTTTTACATGGTATTTAATCAAGTAATTCCATTTTATTATTACATAGTTTCTGCTTTCTTATCTTCTTTGATATGGTTGTCCCTGCCCCTAAATTTTAGATGTAGTCATGTAGATTTTTTTTGCAAAATTTTATTGCTTTATATTTTTAATTTAAATATTTAAGTTGTCTGGATATTTTAAATTTAAATATTTAAGCTCAGATTTAAATATGGAGTAAAATAGGACTTATGAAAAATATTTTACACATACAGAGCTATGATGATGAAGCTCTTGTCACCAGCTGTCTCAGTCAGTGGAGCATGTGACTCTTGATCTGGCGTTGTGAGTTCGAGCCCCACGTTGGGTAGAGATTACTTAAAAATAAAATCTTAAAAAAAGAAAGAAAAGAAGTAAATAGATCTTTATAAGCCAACAAATAGCTTTAATAGTTTTGAGAATGAATTAGGAAATAGGAAAACAGATCAATAAAACGAAGGTGAGAGTCCAATATTGGGAGTTTTATTTTCTAAGACAAGGAAGCAAGTACATGGCTTAGTCTCCTCCTGGGACGGTGTGTCAGATGGTGCGTATAGAAGTCTGCTGTAGGCTAACTGAACATTAAAAAAGAAAATGTTGGGGCGCCTGGGTGGCTCAGATGGTTAAGCGTCTGCCTTCGGCTCAGGTCATGATCCCAGAATCCTGGGATCGAGTCCCGCAACGGGCTCCCTGCTCGTTGGGAGCCTGCTTCTCCCTCTGCCTCTCTCTTTCTGTCTCTCATGAATAAATAAATAAAATCTTAAAAAAAAAAAGAAAATGTTATAAAGAAAAAAAAAAAAGAAGTCCGCTGTAGGGAGCCATGCAGGAGGCTGTTTGACCAGGCAAGGTGGCAGAAGAGGGAGCTCCAGACCAAAGCCAAGAGGATGGAAAAGCTGAATCACAGCACTTCCACGAAGTAGGGGGACATGGGTGACGCCCAAGCAAAGCACAGAAACACGTGTTATGTATCCAGAAAGTGAAAGATAACATAAGCAACCATATATGGGTTATTTTAGTAAACCAAGCAATAGAAAGAGACCAATTCTCAGCTCAGTCACAAAATAGCCTCTCCATTCAGGCTTCCTTCTGGGATAAGTGATTGTCACCATTAAATACTTCCCTGGATCACCCACCCACCCGCTACCCAAGTCAACTCTTTACTTCCATTTAACAATCAACTTGTTCATACCACCTGAAGGAGTTGATGAAAAAACAGAATAAAAAACAAGAATAAAAAAATAATAGCAGGGGTAGGAAAATATGTTTAGGGGCAGAAATAACAATTAAAAATTATCCAAAAGGATCATTTGAATCTCTGAAACCTCCAGACTTACACTGTTACGTGTCCAATTATATACTGAAGTAAAGAACATGGGCAGCTTCTCAATGATCACAAGCACTTTGGGTGAGAGAGACGCTTATTGTCTCCTTGATTGTACTGGGCTCTGAGATAGAAACAAATGAGAATCTCCCAGCATATGCCATCAGAGTATGGGAACTCAAAGATTTTATTCCTTTTATATAAGCTGAAAAATTATAATGTTCCTAATATTTGTGTATAAAACCAGACATTTTTATAAAAGATGACACAGGAAAATGTAGAATTCTAAAATACTTTTAAAACAGGTATCCTGGGCACCTGGGTGGCTCAGTCGGTTAAGCATCTGCCTTCGGCTCAGGTCATGATCCTGGAGTCCCAGGATCAAGACCCACATCAGGCTCCCTGCTCAGCGGGGAGTCTGCTTCTCCCTCTCCCTCTGACCCTCCCCGCTGCTCGTGCTCTCGTTCACGCATGCTCTCTCTCTCAAAAGTAAATAAAAATATTTAATTAAGAAAAAATAAAATAAAACAGGTATCCTTAGAAGATTACCCTAAATGAAATCAAAGTAGTTAGGAACAGAAGGGTCCAGCGTATCTGAACTCCTTTCCGAGTATAACCCATCCTGCAGAATATCTCATTCTCTCTGGGTTCTCAGAAAGTGATAGTGATGTAGGAAAGACGTTATTAGGGTTCAAAGCCGACAGCCAAGAAAGAATTCTTGAGACATCTTTGGTGCAAAAAGGTGGTTTTATTAAAGCACAGGGACAGGACCCGTGGGCAGAAAGAGCTGCACCAGGGTCATGAGGGGTGGCCCGTTATATACTTTCAGGTTGGGAGGGGGTTAGGGAGAGCGTAAGTCTCTAAGGAATTCTGGAAGCAAGGTTTTCAAGACCTTGAGGGGGCTAGCTCTTCTGGGGAAAGGTCATTTATTACCATCTAATAAAACCTTAGTCATGAGACCCTTCAGGTGTATATCAGTAGGCCATATGCTTGGAGGATGATTACCAACATGTATCTTAGGGGGTTTAGAGATAAAGGAAGTTTCCAAAGGAATTTTTATATGTTAAAGTAGACTTACAGGATCCTGAGGTGGGGGGCGGGTGGGGGAGTCGGGCTAGGATTATCTTTTGCCCTTTACAAAGTATTAACATCGAGGCAGCTGAGTCCCTAGAGGAATGTCACTCTGCCTGTTTCAAGGACTTGTCAGTGGTCTCTAGGTAGTAAGGAAATTCAATAATTTTTCTTCTGCCTTTGTTTCCCACATCAATAGGACACGGAATGCCCAAATGTGTGTGTGTGCTTATTGAAAGGAATTTATCCCAGTCCCAAACCACACATTTAATGGAATATTTAACATGATGAGAGATTCTGGATCAGAAAATTGTTGAAGTTTGGGACATAGAACACAGAGGCACAGAGCTAAGAAGCCAATAGTTTAAGATATTTGAAGACCCAAATATTTAAGCTATTCAAAGAAGTGGGTGAGAGGTTGGGGAGAAGACAGAGAGGAAATGAGCAAATGGATAGTTGGAACGGGACAGGCTACTAATAATAGAATCAGAATATGAAGAAGTCCTGGTTTTCTGTCAAAGAGAGATACTTGTTATATGTGTCTGAAAGAGGACTTCAAGCACCTCCATTTTGACCTCAGTCCTCCTTTCTAATTGATTCAGTTCTTTCTAGCATTATCTCTTAACTCAGGCCAAAGACGCTATGGGCAAAGCATCCCCCATGAGAACTGAAACTACCCCCTCAAGCAATAAGAACCACCCTGAGCCAGCAAGACAATGATGGTGACTGACCCCAAGACGAGATCGACCTGACCTTCACTATCCACCTGCACGTACCCACCGAACTTATATAAACCTGGAAGTATTTTCGGCACTTTGGAGACCGTCTTTGAGATGCTAGTCTGCTGTCTTCTAGGTGTCGGCCTCCCTGAAATAAATTCCTTTCTTGTTTCACCACCGCTGGTCTCTCTGCCTTTGGATTTTGTCAGCAGTGAGTGGCCACACTTGGTCTGTTTGGGAGCCCGGAGCCAGGTGCTCATGCACCCCTGTGGCCCGGTTACACTTCTGTTGAAGGATGCTTTTTCCCGTGAATCAATGCTTCACTAACGCTACATGAAAGACTAAGTAATAAATAATGATAGGGACGCCTGGGTGGCTCAGTCGGTTAAGCGTCTGCCTTCAGCTCAGGTCATGATCCCAGGGTCCTGGGATCGAGTCCCGCATCGGGCTCCCCGCTCTGCGGGGAGCCTGCTTCTCCCTCTGCCTCTGCCTCTCTCTCTATCTCTCATGAATAAATAAATAAAATCTTTAAAAAAAAATTTTAAAAATTAAAATAAATAAATAAATAATGATAAATAGCGAAATAGTGATAAGACTATCTAAAAAGTATAAGAGAAGCCTATAGAAATATCTATATTGAAGAAAGAGAGAGAACAAACTGAGGGCTGCTGGAGGGGAGTTGGGTGGGCAATAGGCTAAATGGGTGATGGGTATTAAGGAGGGCACTTGTGATGATGAGCCCTGGGTATTATATGTAAGTGATGAATCACTGAATTCTACTTCTGAAATCAATATTACATGACATGTTAACTAACTAAAATTTAAATAAAAATTTAGAAGGAAGAAAGAAAGCAGGGTAGCAGCCCTTGAATAAGAGGAAAGGAGCTGAAGAAAAATCAACAAGCAAGGAATGTATAGACAGGAATCCGAAACCAAAAAAGTGAAATATAACAAAATATCAAATTATCATTAAATGAAAGATAATGGCTCACCATGTAAGTTTAACTTCCAAAGGAATTGGTTTGGTTAAAGTGCTCCCAGGGAAATGACGTGTGTGTGCTTATTACAGAAAACATGTATTTGTCTAAGGCAGTGAGTCATTGAACGCATGTTGAGAGCCGAGGTGATGGCAGATTGCTCGAGAAAGCACAATACAGCATAAACACACCAGCCCACGTGAAGCCTGCGTGAACACGGTGCCGTCCATATGGCCTCTGGACTTAATTAAAAATTGAGGAGACAGTCTCCCTGAAATCTATATACACTGTCATTCTCCAAAACTTGACAAATTTCTTGTGCAAACAACACAGCTCCAGCCACTGTGATTGGCATGACTCTGACTGGGCACGGCTTTTTTTTTTTTTTTTTAGCTTCTGAAGCTTTAATGTAGATATGATTTCCGATAGGCTTTTACAAATACTGAAAGTAGCTTCCAGGCCCTTTTCTTTTAAGGATCTTTGGAGATTCATAAGAACTACAGATTTGAAGATTGCAGTTGCCATCCAAGGAGGACGAAAATTCAGTGACTTCCCCAAGATAATTAACATGAAATTACAAGTACTGATTATCCTTATTTACTTTTTCACAAAATTCTCCCTAGAGTTACCCTGGTAATCGGGTAAGCTCCTTATCTATATCCAACAGCCCTCAATAGATCTGGGTATCCTTTTTTTTCCAGTGTGGAGGGACTTGGGCCCATGGCCATAGGTCCCATTGGTAAAAGGCTCCATGAATATATGTTTATTTATACGTACAGAGGCTCCGTTGGTTCCATTCTCAAGGACACCAGGTCCCCAGGTCCCCATCCAAGCAATGGGCTCTGTGAACTGGTTTAGATGTCAAAGTTGCGTAAGGGCTCACAGTTAATCTGCTAGGCTGCTGACATAAGTCTTCTGCAATCCCATTCTTTCTCACTTCATCTGTAGAAGGTAAGCAGTGCCATCCGGGGCTGCCCATCCAATCTCATACCTAGGAACAAGGCTGATTTGCCAGTGACACAAATCCCGGTGGATAGAGGCCCCCAGGTTGCAAAGCCAGACTTTTTTCTCGTCATAGCAGTCACACCCATCTTGCTTCTGACAGTGAGCTCTTACCATCTCGCTCGTATTATATGGAATCCTATTGTCCCCACTCACACTAGGGAGCCCACTTTCTTAGTCACATTCCTGTCCTCACCAGGACCTTCAGAGGACAAAAGCTCATCACTGAGCTTCTCAGTGATGCTGGTGCCTATCTGACTAAAGCATCCTGTATTGCTTTTGTGAAAGGAGTAATCTCTAGGTCCTCTCCAGGACCATACTCAGCTGGGTTATAGTAATCATAATCAGCTGCAGGACCATTCTAGTGGCTTCTCTGGAATCACATAATAATTCAATTATTCTTTTTTAAGTTTTATTTATTTAAGTAATCTCTACACCCAATATGGGGCTCAAACTCATGACCCCAAGATCAAGACTCGCATGCTTTTCTGACTGAGTCAGCTAGGCGCCCCTAGTAATTCAATTCTTTTTTTTTTTTTTTAAGATTTTTTGTTTATTCCTTTGAGCGAGAGAGAGCAAGCAAGAGTATGAGCAGTGGGGAGGGGCCGAGAGAGAGGGAGAAGTAGACTCCCTACTGAGCAGGGAGCCTGACGTGGGGCTCGATCCCAGGACCCCGACGTGGGGCTCGATCCCAGGACCCCGAGATCATGACCCGAGCCGAAGGCAGATGTTTAACCGACTGAACCAACCAGGCGCCCCTAATAAATCAATTCTTGTCTGTCCTTTTGCTAGAACTCTGACCCTCACAATTTGCCACAGCAGTTCCAGCATTTCTGCCTCATTTACTGTGGCGTCATCATGTCACATTTTCAAAGAGCTCTCCCAGCAGGGTCAAGGGCCAGGGTCATGTGTCTTTACAAGATGTCAAGTCCTGAGTCAATGTGAGTGCCCTCATATCAACAAACACTTCCGTGCCCGGCCTTTACCATGGCAAGTGAAAACCCGCACAATGCCCTTCTGCTCCTATTCCCCCGGTGCCCATCAATACAAATGAGACACAGCATACCACTCATTTGGTAAATCAGCTACTTCCTCACCAAGGCCCTGCTGAGACCTGAACTTAGTTACAGGCCTGGGGGTCATGAAGGGGGCAGAAGTGGAATTTGAGGTGGGCAGACAGCATCTTGGGAGGAAGCCACTTCAGGAGGCCTTTGTATGACCAGAGGATAATGGGACCCTGCTCTCCCCTTGCAAAGGTAAGGCGACTGCTTCCATAGACCTAGAGATTTTTTAGGGGGAATTTAGGGGTTCATTGGTCTCCAGAAGATCCAAATATATGTTCCTGTCCTTGGTATCAGGGTCTTACTCCTTCAGCTTTAGTGTCCTAATTTAGCAGAGAAGACCTGCAAGGTCTGCGCATTGACATCCTTTTAATTCCACTATGCTTATAATGAAATCCTGGCCTTAATTTTGCCTTCTTGCTACAAGAAATGAAGGTCCATGGGGCGTCTGGGTGGCTCAGTTGGTTAAGTGTCTGCCTTCGGCTCAGGTCATGATCTCAGGGTCCTGGGATCGAGCCAGGTGTCAGGCTCCCTGCTCAGTGGGTAGTCTGCTTCTCCCTCTCCCTCTGCCTCTTCCCCCCATCCCCCACTCATGCTCTTTCTCTCTCTCAAATAAATAAATAAAATCTAAAAAGAAAAAAGGAAAGAAACGAGGGTGTATTTAAATGCTGCCATGGCGGGATTCTGGCTCTCAGAACATGTCCATAGGTTATGATTGACCACACACCCAACTCTAGGACCTTCCAATCACTTTCCCCACATATAGTTCAAATTCTAGGACTAATGCATAAGTTAGTGCTTCACTTTCCATCTGTACCTCATCCCAATCCACCACAGGTCTTTCCAACATTCCCCATGTGGCACTTAACACTAGCAAAACAGTCCTCACTGTCATCTGACCAACAGTTGACTTGTCACTATACCAATGGTCTTAGAATTGGTTCCCCCAAAGAAGATCCTGAGACAAGGACTTAAATGGCATGCTTTATTTTGAAGATAGTCCCCAGAAAAAAAAAAAGAGGAAGTGGGGAAATGAGACAAGGAAGGTAGAAAAGCCATCCACTGTGGCATTAATGAGCAGGTCTATGCTCACTGCCACTGAGGGACTCTGAGATGCTGTGTGGAACAAACTCAGAATCACCCTGGTTCAGTATGGGAGGCTGCAGCATTTCCCCACCAACTCCCATGCCCCACTGTTTGAGGGGGACCCTCAGAAACTTTATTCCCCTATCTCTGGTGCCTGTCTATGCAGCCAAGCAAGTTCATGTGGTACCCACATATCGTACCCATGTGGTTCATGTCAGGTGCAGAAAGCCTCAGGCAGAGACAAGACACCCAAACCTGGGATGTAAAGATGACAGCACACTGGGGAAGCCCTCTTGCTTTACAGTTGCAGGTGAACTTGGGTGGGCCAAGGGGGTATGGAGGGGGTGACAACAGTGTATGTATGATACACATCTCAGTGCGATCAGTGGACAAATCAGAGGTTTCCATCTCCAAAAGGACCATCAATGGAACTGCTCTATTCCTCTTACCGGGGACCTGAGAAACTTGCCATATTGCTTAGAGCAAGTTCAGAAAATCACATTTTCTCCAAATCCTTATTGATTTTAGGAAAAGATATTTTCTCATTGGGAAGTGTCCAACAGGATTCTTTCCAAGATCATGAGATCATATACGTTAGCCACGGGCATTTCCACCCACATGGTGTAAGAGTTGCTGATTTGCTTTCACCAGGAAGGTGAAACTGACCAAACTGAGATGAGAGAAACAGCTAATTATGACGAGAAAAGTATGGGTTCTCCTAAATTAGTTTTCTGTATGAAAGAAAGTATATCAACCATAAAGTACAATTATAAATTTTTTAAAGGCTGATATTAAGAAAAAAGACCTTGGAAAATCGTAAGTAGCCAAAAGACAGTTTAAATACCAGTTTGCTATGGGTGGGCAGAATTTTCCACCAGAAAAACAGTGAAATTAAATTTCAATGGCGGAGTAGATGCCACATGGAGAAATATGGCAAAACCGTCTTCCTCTTCCATAGCATAGAGGCATCACTTCCCTTTGCACCCAGATGGGCTCACCTGAGTGCCCATGGACTGCCACACACACCATGTCCTGCGTGTGACC